AGGAAGTATTTTTACTCTAAGTACAGTATTTGAGATATGTCTTGAGGATGGTGGGGGTGGTATTTTCTGAAGGTTATCATCCCCCTTGCCATTCTTTTTATAAGAACATAAATTTGAAAAAGTCTATTTTAATAACACCCTTAGTAAGAGAAAGTGCACTGTCTCAAAATCAAAAGAACTGAGTTTTAATTCCAGCTCCATGATTTCTTAGATATGTAACTTATAAACAAGTCACAACTTAGTCTGTTTCCTAAGCTGTAAAAGGACATTTCCTGCCTATACCATAAGATTATTAAGAGAAAAGTAAATTGTAAAGTTCCATACAAATCTGAGTTATTAGGTGGCCTAGGGGCTGGATCCATTTCATCAATGATAGGGAACTCCCAGATGAGGAAATTCCTTCCACCAATGTATGCCAGCCTTTTCTTTGCAGCTTGGTTAAAAAAGCTCTCAACCCAGGGTAATTCAGACACAGGTGAGACTTGAGCTCAGCTAAAGACAAGCTCTTAATTCACAACACAACACTGTCTCATATTTTATTCTAATAATTATATGTGAATGATCTGTGATTTTGTCATCTTGAGGAACTCTATCCTCTCCCTTCCCCCACCAAGTTGTGAAACCATACATAGATTTTGTAGATAAGTCTCAAGTTTCAGAGATGGAATCCAATCTAAGCCTAGCTTCAGGGGAACACTGAAGCCAGCTTTCGCCAGATTTTCAGTTTCAGCTTTAACACACTGGAAATTGGCAAACATTGCAACTCAGGGTTGATTTTATTGTGTGGTTGATTGTCTAAACTTAAAATGATGTATAAAATATTAATATTCCAAATTAAACTTTAAAGTGTTATAAATTTTTGGAGAGCTGGATGTTAAACATTTACCAGCATATTTCTGACTAGTACTCTATCCATGATAACATATTACCTCTGCATGAGTAAAATATATAATTAAGTATATTATATCCATATATCTATATACCTGAGATCAAATCTGGCCTCAGATATTTACTAGCTATGTGACCCTGGGCAAGTCACTTAACCCCATTTGCCACAGTCTCCTCATCTATAAAATGAGCTAGAGAAGAAAATAGCTAACTATTCTAGTATCTTTTTCAAGACAGCCCCAAATGGGGTCACAGAGAGTCAGACATTACCGAAACAACTGAACAACACATTTATATGTATAGTACCTTACATATACAGATATGTAATGTATATATGCACATCTAATGCATATTAATTATGGATGTATGTATCTTTCTATCTACTTATCACCTCCTGTTCAAAACTTTTACTTGCACTTTATTATTCTCAGATAAAGTATAAATACCTTAGCCTAAAATTTAAGGCAGTCCACAATCTGGCTTCAACCAACCTCTGCAATCTTATAGAATTTTACACTTGTTTCTACTATACCTGCCAGCCAAAAAAGATCATTTGCTATTCTACCAATGAGATATTTCATCCTCACCTCCATGCATCCAAATAGTCCTTTTTCCTAGACCCTTACTACATTCTCACCTTATTTCCACTTTCCAAAATTTTTACTATCCTGGCAGGCTTAGTTCACTTTCTCCTGAAGATTTCCCTGATGATATACTTTCCCTTTCTTCCCTCCCCTACCACTGCTGCTGTCTCCTTTAAAAAAAAAAATTCTAGAGCTCTCCATGCGATCTTCCCATGACCTCTTTCTATTCCCTGCCTTATCTTATATTTATCTGTGTTCATGTTGTATTCCTGGAGTAGAATGTAAGCCCCAGGAGGGCAGGGGCTGGTTTCTTTTTGCTTTTCTGTCTTCTCTTAGTACAATGATTTGAACTCAATAACATCAACATTTGTTGAACTGAAATGAATAATAATACATATGCAAACTATTTTTTAAAACTGCCCAATTTTTAGTATGAACCAGGGGTAATGGTAGTGCTAGAAATTTGGAGTCAGAAGACTAGATTGCAATCCTGGCTTTGCTATTTTATTAGGTGACCTTGGTCAGGTCATTTAATTTTTCACAATGCCTCAGTTTTCTCATCTATAAAAGGAGGAAGTTAAACTAGCTAATCTAGACCCCGGTGTGGGGTCTGAATAGAGTATATTGAGTGCTAGGCTTGGAATAGGTAAGACACACTCAAACATAGTTTTTGACATTTATGAGAAATGGGACCATGGAAAAAGCGTTTACTGATCTTTGAGTCTCATTCTCTAAAAAAGGGTTAATAATATCTACCTCTCAGAATTTTATTGTGAGGCTTAAATTAGATATGTGTGTATACACCCATCCACAAGCATATACACATATATGCACATGTATGCATAATGTATGTATACACACGTGTACATATACATGTGTGCATGCACACACATACATACATAATGCATGCATACATAAACGCTTTGTAAGCCTTAAAGTTATTTTTAGTTATTTTTACCCAATGATCCTATGAAAAGGGGTATATGGTGTTCACAATGGTTTGACAGATTAGGAATGGATTCAAAACAGCATAAATAGCCTAATTTAATTGCCCACAGATGGAAATTGAAGCTTAGTCTAATGGTATAAGCAATGGAACTACAGATATAGAGAAGGAGGGATTACAGCATTTTCTGGGTTGGGTGAGTAGTTTGAGCTATGAGGTGTTAGCTAAGGCCTTCTCCATTTGTCCGCTGTCAGAAAGAATCACTTTAGATATTTCTCCATACCTCTTAATAATGGGTCCCTGGTTCTAATCGTAAGCAAAAATGAAAGAGATAGCTTACAAGCTGTGGCTCCCAATTGTTCACAATGTATTGTCCCTTCCTTATTGCAGCTTTTTGGAGTCATCCTAATAAAGTCAGAGTGATTTAGTCTGGGGAAGAGAAGACTCAGGGTTTATGTAATCAGTCATCTTTCAGGGTTTGAAGGACTTTCATGCAGAAGATGGTCCCTGAAAGGATCAGAGCAGAACCAATAGGTGGGAGTGGCAGAGAAGTGGATTTTATTAATATAAGAGGAAAAAAGCTTCCTAAAAATTTGAGCTGTCTAGAAATATAATGGGCTACTTTCTGAACAATAATAATTTCTGTAGTGTTTTACAAAGCACATTTATATATAGTTTGCATACACTTTTATATACTTTCCTTATAACAATACCATGAAGCAGGTAGTATAAGTGTTGTGCTTCCCATTTTATTGATGAAGAAACTAAGGCTCAAAGAGATTAATTGACTTGCCAAAATTCACATAGCTAGTAAGTGACACAGCTAGACTTTGAACCTAAGTCTTTTGACTCCAATTACAATGGTGTGTCCACTGCACCATGGTAGCAACTTGAAATAGGGACGAGGTGACCATTACTTGGATATGATATAAAAGGGATTCATGCCTAAGGTCCAGGTTCAACTAGGCAATCTATAACATCCCTTTAAACTCTTCAGAGTCTATGCTTTTATACTTGGTCCAGAAGACCACTAAGATCAGCCATGGGAGGTCAGGTAAATAGATTCCCTAATACAAACCAGAGGAGAAAACTGATTGGTAATTAAGAGAAGTGATTTACTAGAGAAAGGAAGCACGTCTTTAAAAGAAAAGCAAAAGTCCATAATACTGGTGACATAGCTGGTCTTGATTAGCATCTAATTATTGAAACCCAGTGAATAAACCTTTTTATGCTTCTGATTTGAGGTTGAATTTCAATCTGAGCTCATGCTGAGAAAAGCTCTTAATTCATCATCAGAGCAATGTGCCATGTTAAGATTTTGAAACAAAAAAGCTATAACAAGGCAAGCCCATTGCTTGAGTAGTTTCATGAGCCAGGTGTATTTAAAGGAACTTTGAGAATGATGTTAATACGTTAAAAAAAATACCCAAAATATATAGTTACTGTGATTATTGTCAACAACACACTGGCACACAGCAGATTGCAGACTTGCAAAATACAGGGTCTCTCTTTACAGCACATACACACAAAACCCACTTAATTTTGTCTTGTACAGTTATTTCTAAACCTTTTTGTTAAATATACATTTCTTAGAGGATATGGAGGGACAACAATCTGATTGTCTCCAAACTCACCATAGTGATAAGCCCATACCATCTGTCCTGGGCTTCTCCTCCTTTCCCTTCCTCTCTAAAGATAAAGCAGTCATGTTGTTTCTCAGCTTCTCCTGAGAAGGGATTGTTTCCTTTTTTGTTTTGTATCCCTGGGACTTGGCACATAGTAGATGCTTAATATTGACTGATTAATTATATTTCCCTTTCTTAGGAAAGTGCTTGCCTGCCCCAATGATATCTTGAAAGACCATTCTGGGAAAATATCACAATGTATCCAGAGAGGCAATATCTCATTAAGAAAAGCTTTTAAAATCCATACTTCCTTAGAGTGTCTTGCAATGACTATTTTCAATACATTAGGTTTTACAAAACTGAACTGAAAAAAAGTTACCACCGCAGTTTAGTTATTGGCTCCAGTTTTTAAATCCTGTCATTGCCAGTTCGTTTATTCTCACACCACCTGGATTTCATTTCCCACCTTTTGGAAATGTAAACAGAAGCATCAGACAATCCGACCACTCTGCTGATGGCTGACAGCACACATGGTGTCAGACACAAATATTTATGTTTCCAATAGCCCAAATATTTGAAAACGGATTTGGATAAAAAGAAAAGTGCCTTACAGGATTCAGGAACCACATAAACATTTTTGGAGAGAGCTAGAAAGTGCGGATAATTTACAAATCACTTATCTCACAAGAAAAATAAAACATACAATTCCCAGGAATTATAAATACCCCATCTAGAAGGGGTATTTAGTCCAAATCAAAAAAAAAAAATTAAAGTTGGTGCGTTTTTCCTTTCCCAGATATCAATGAATCAATTCACATATACACATAGATTAAAACATGTCTTCAAAGTGTGGGCCAGGAGTGGTAGCACATGCCTATAGCCTCTGCTACTGGGGAGGTTAAGAGTGGTGAATTGCTCGAGTTAAGTAGTTCTGAGCTCCAGTAGAATTAAAGCTGATCAGATGTCCCCAGTAACTCGAATACCAGTGTAGTGAGTCACTGGGAATAGAAGAGGGAGAATGGAGAAGACAGGTTGCTTAAGGAAGGGTGAACCAACCCAGATTGGTAATGGAGTAGGTCAAAATTCCCAGGCCAATCAGCAGTGATGTCAGGCTATATCTGGTCACTGGACTTACAGACTGGGTTGAAAGAAACCAGGGAGAGCTACTTTCAAAAAAAAATTGTGTATACATGTGTATGTTACTACATGTCTTTGGACATTTTAAAAAAAGTATGCACAAATAAAGCTCTCTAGGTTTGACTTTCCTTTCTGGAAGTTTGGGAATGAGATATGTGATATTTGCAGGGCTCTTTCCTGGCATAGTTCATGAAGGAATCCATGAATACCTAGGACAACATACAAACTCTGAAGGGGTATACAGTACAAATCATGAACTTAAACATGGGAGAAGGCATATTTTAGCATCCAATTTCACACAGTCCTTCAATTCCTGGTATATAATTTGAATAACTCACTGACAACTCCTTAAGGACTCATTAGACTTTCTGACAATGACATGACAAAAATCCAGATTATCTAAAGGGAAAGAATCTCTTTCTAATTACATCAGGATCTCAGTCAAATTGGGAAGCAGGTCTGGTAGACAGATTAGTGAGCACTGATGTGGCCAATAGGCAAAAGAAGAGAGGAAAAGCAGAGAACTCAAATGATCCAGAATCCTGGATAATTAGCACTCTTCCAACACAACAACCACACACACACACACACACACACACACACACACACACACACACACACAAAAGGAACCAAAAATTGCCTGTCATTTCAAACCTCATTTCCTTGCAGGAGAAATCCTTTAAAATGTTCTTAAATTCACAGCAGTTAAATAACCTTCAAGTACAACTCTCCACGTGTAGTTTATTTCCCCTTTAGTATCGACTCATCATCAGAAGGAAGTTAAATAGAAATATAATGGTGAAGAAAAATGCTAACACAAGAGGATGGGAATAGTGAAGGGAGCCATAACAACTGAGGCTGTGTTGATGTACAAATTAAAGATCAGATCATCATCTCTGGGGCCAGTTTTGGTGTAGGTACCACAAAGCAGAGCTAAGCATTTCTGTGAAAGAGGAGACATTCCTAGCCAGTAAGATCCCTCTAGGAAGATTAATTATTGATTTTTAAAAAAATAAATCACCATTACCAAAATAGAAAATCATTTTTGTTTGGTTTTTATCCTGTGATGGGGAAGGTCTGAATTTACTATTATTTTTCCTTCCTCTATATCCTATTAAATATATAGATATAGAAATACATATATTAGATATAGATAAATATGGACATAGATCCATATCTATCTATCTATCTATCTATCTATCTATCTATCTATCTATCTATCTATCTATCTATCTATCTATCTATTTACCTAAGTTGATCATTGGTCAAGGGAGAAAAAAGTCATTGAGTACCCAGGCAAACATGTTTCAGAGAGCAATCTGTTCTCCCAATGTGCTTTGCAAGTAATGTAGAGCACTATTTCTTGATCTTTGAAAGGGAGCAGGGGACAAGACCTTGGGCAATCTCTAATAGGTATGAGGTAATTAGAAGGATGAGGGCTGCAATAACTGGTGAGAAAAGCAATAATGTGCAATTTACACATAATATAATTTTGTTGACATCCTGTTTGAAGTCTATGGAATTCCAAGGAGGAAAGACAGACTATTCTGTTAAGAGGACAACAGCAGGCTAAAGAACATGGTAGTAACCAACATTACCTCATCCTTAATTTAATATACCAAGCGTGACGATGCTCTTTACCTTTCTGCCACCAGTGTTGATACGTAGCGGTGTGAGGAAAGGGTCGAAGATCATATGACTGGTTTCTATGTTGACTGGTGACTGTCGTTTTCCAACAGAGCAAAGATTCCAAGCAGAGTTGACCAATCCCCAGAAGGAAGGAACTATAAAGGAAAAGGGGAACAACACAGAATTAGAGAGGAAGTGAAGTCTGAGGAGAGAGGAAAGAACATATTTGGATCACAAACTATAGAACCAGCTTTTGCAAATGAACATGGCTCACGGTGTATCATTGTCTAGTAGAAAGAAATCATAAGTGGACATATAGGATCATATATTTAGAACTGGAAGAGACTGGAGTCAACCTATTGCAGCTCTTTCATTTTACAGATTACAACCTATTCCTGTTGTAGATAAGGAAACGGAGGTCTAGAGGAGTTAAGTCACATGCCACATTTCACATAGATAGTAAAGGGGAAGAATTGGGATTTGAATTCAGATCATTTGACTCCAGAGTAGTCTTTGACCTATATCACTAAGCCTGGATTTCAGTCTTTACTTGTCTCTGTTCTGTGATCTTAGGGAAATGACTTAGGAACAGTTAAATGGATAAAGTGGATAAGTGGATAAAGCACTGGACCTGGACCTCAGACACTAACTAGCTGTGTGACCTTGGGCGAATCACTTAACTCTGTTTGCCTCAGTTTCCTCATCTGTAAAATGAGATGGAGAAGGAAATGGCAAATCTGTCCAGTATCTTTGCCAAGGAAACCCGAAATGGGTCACACAGAGTCAGACATGATTAAAAAAAACAAAACCAAGCAACAACAATGGTATCTACATTGCAGGGTTGATGTGAGGGTAAAATGAGATAATATTTGCAAAGTGCCTTGCAAACTTTAAAGCACTTATAAATGCTAGCTATCACTATTAAGTTACCTACTCTTTCCATAGGTCAGAATTAGGAAGGATAAGCTGATCTTGTTAGGCAAGGATGCTTTGAGGATACATTGGATCCTCTCTATAATTGGCAAGTTTGAACTTTTTAGAAACAGCCGCTCACAGACATAGAATTTCAGTGCTGGGAGGGGTCTTCAAGATCATCCACTATGATCTCTTATCATTGCACCATTTTAGTTATTATGCATCGTCATGTAAATTTTGCATTAATTTGGGGAGGCATCTTGGCATTGTAGACAGAGTGCCAGACTTCGAGCATAAAGACCTGGGTATAATTCCCATCTTAGATACTAGCTGTGGGACCCAGTGAAGGTCACTTATCTGCTCTGAGCCTCAGTTTTCTCATCTATAAAATAAGGATAAGAACAGCATTTGGGGAAGCTAAATGGAGCCACAGTGCACAGAGCACCAGGCCTGGAGTCAGGGAGACTCATCTTTCTAAGTTCAAACCTGGCTTCAGATACTTATTAGCTGTGTGACCCTAGGCAAGTCACTTAACTTTGCTTTAGTTCTTCATCTCTAAAATGAGCTGGAGAAGGAAATGGCAAATCGCTCCAGTATCTTTGCTAAGAAAAGCCTCAAAATGGGGTCATGAAGCATCAGATACAACTGAAACGACTGAACAACAACAACAAAACCCAGCATTTACCTTTTAGGTTTGTTCTGAGGGCCAAATGAAATAGATATGTAAAGCATTTGGCAAAGTTTAAAGCATTAATTAAAAGTTAATTATTCACATCAGCTGTAAAGTATAAGATGGATTTTCTAAATATTAATTTTACTTTTAAAAAAAGTTTTGATGTCTTTTGCTTTTATATTGCATTTTGAATGCATATAGCTCCTTTCCCCCTCTTCTACCCTGTCAACTTTTTTATGTTATATTTACAGTTTTCTCTTTTACATTACATTACATATTATATTTCTTTTATATTCCTCACAAATATTTAGGAAAAAAAAAACATTTTAGCCAAACCAACCAACACATGACAGCATATGTATCAATAGTCCCTCACTCTTTCCAAAGGAAGGCAATGCATCTTCTCATCTCTTCTTTGGGGTCAAGCTTAGTCATCATAATTTTAAAACATTCAGTTTCATTGTCTTGTTTTTTCATTTACATTGTAGTTACCGTATATACTGTTTTCATCTGTAAAATGGGAGAGTTAGACTGGATGGCCTCTATGATCCTTTGCTAGACAATGCACAAAATAGTAAATTAAGCCCTGATTTGTAGTATTTGCTGATTTCCAAGTTGTAAACACTCACATTGAAATTTTAACAATTGGCTCTTACAAGCCCTTTGGAGCTGGTTCCCAGTAAGCCCCTGCTTCTAGTTTTAGGTCTATGATCCTGGGTCTAATTAGATGACTCTGCATCAGTTCAAATAAGTCTTCTCAAGGTTCAGTGAATTTCTCACATTTATCAATTCTTCCAAGACAGTGATTTTCCATTATATTCACACACCATAATTTATTTGGCCATTTCCCACCTGAAGTGTACCTATTTTGTTTCTCACTCTTTAGACCACAGAAATGCTGTTATGAATATTTTGGTAAATATGGACCTTTGTTCTTATTTTTGACCTTTTTCAGGAATGGGCCTGGAAAAGCAATCTCCAAGCCAAAGGGAAACTTGAAGTATCTTTTTCTTTTCTTTTTGCATATTACTAACAGTGTATCCATGTGTCTTTTTTTCTCACAGCTTCTTTAATATGATTCCTGCGTGTACAATCTTTGCCAATTTACTGAATATGAGTTGTAGTCTCCGATTTCTTCTGCTTTGTATTTCTTTTACTGTTAGTGATTTGGAGCAACATGTCCTATGATTTGGAATAGTTTCCAGTCCTTCTTTTAAGAACTGTATGGTCAATGCTTTGACCAAATATCTATTGCTAACTCTCTCATTTTGTAGGTGAGAAAAATGAAGCCCAGATGTGGCATACGCCTTTTCTAAGGAAGAATAAAACCTGAGTTTCCTGACCCCCAACCCAGGGTTCTTTTTCTTACATCATGTGCCCTGAAGCTACAGAATATCTTTGGTAAGTTGTTAAGAACAAAATGACATGACAAAAACAAATTAAAAATCACTCTCACTCATCAATTATGGGCAGAAATTTGAAATCCTACCATTGTAATTTGATTGTGCCCTCATCCAGACAAGCAGTGCATCATAACCCTATTGTTTCCAGATGGAGATAAAAAATTTATTTAATGGAAAGGAAAAAAAACAGTATTCAGTTCTCAGGGTATGTATGTAAATGATACATTAAATTTCATGTTAAATCTAAATTTTCAGTTGAATGGATTTTTATATAGAATGTTGTTCAGATAGCTTTTTTTTTTCTATTTAGAGAAATAACTGGGTAGGATGAACTGGGAGCAGTTTAAAGATTTGTTTTCAGTGACAGTCCAATTTGGAGTTAAGCTTTAAACCCTTCTTTAGAGGTAGCTGGTGGTGCACTGACTAGAGTACTGGGCCTAGAGTCAAGAAGATCAAAGTTCAAATATGGCCTCAGACACTTACTAGATGTTTGACTGGGGGCAAGTCAATGAGGATAATAACAGCACCCAACTTGTCCAGTTGTTTATAGGATCAAACGAGATAATAACTGAAAAAGTGCCTGGTACATTGGCATTATGTAAATGTTTATTCCCCTGTGTTGACCCTAAACACTAATGGATCCAAGCCTGTTTCACAAGGTAGGTCCAGTTCTCTTTTCCTGTCTTATCTTACATTTCATATATTTGTGCTCCAGACCTTTTCTTTTCCGCTGTTTCTGTGCCTGACACAGAATGCCTTCCCCAGTCTTCTCCTGTTGAAATCCCTCCCCTCTATCAAGACCTTTATTAAATGCCACCTCTTGCATGAAACCTGCCCTCAACTTCCCATCTAGGCATGATCTCTCTTTCATTAATATTCTCTTTGGACTTTTCCTCTGTATTTCTCATAATTTAATTTGTATTACTTAATTTATGCATACCCTACCACCCCTGTTCGGTGCTAAGCTTCTTGGAGATAGAGATCAGGCCTTATTTATCCTTGTACCTTAGTACCTGGCACACTGTATTACATACCTGTAGCTGCTTCACCACCTCTAATAGGTCCATCCCTTCATAAGAATTGACTATAATGAGGAGAAATCCATTGTCTCCTCTTCCTGAGGAGGCATCTTCTGGGTTCCTTGATTCCTGCTTCTGAGGCTAGACATCAGTCTGGCAAGATACAGCTTCCTGAGATGTACTTTCCTTCTGAGAAGCTCAACTGATTTTCTTTTAGAATCAAAGCAAACATTGCTAGCTTCCATTACATATAGGGAACATTGTAGCACAGAGAAATTAATCAGCATACTTTTGTCACCTCTGGGAATTGCTGGAGGTGGGACTAGAATCCAGACTTCCCAAATCATTAAATTCTTCCCCCCCTTTTTGGTGGGGGGAACCCCAGTAGTATTGTAAGTCTGAAGGATGTACTAACGAAGGAAGAGGTCCACCAGAGTTTTCTCTACTATTAATGGGTTTAAGTAGAAGTCCTTTGCATTTTTGGTGAATTAAGTTAAAGTCTGTCCTATATTTCATGTCACGTTATTTTTGGTGCTTGCAAGAAAGCTGGGGACCTCCCTCCCACCATTGGAGAAAGACCTGGAAATAAGATAAACTCTAATTTATCTCTAGGGGGAATCCCAGGGGATGGGGTCAAATGAGCCAACGGTGAAAACACTGAGTGGGGCAAGAGCCAAAGAATCATTGTGAAATTCCCCCCCACCCCCCACCCCAAGACCAAGCCTAGCCATGTTAGTCTAGAGCTTCAGTAATGGTACAGCCCATGTTTATAATTGAATCACAGTCTACAACCTGTTTTGTTATACCCCAACCATTCTTTAGATTCCTATTTATACTCCTATTTTTTAACACCTCTTATTCTGATCCCTTATAGAAAGTCACTTAATATCTTTGGAGAACACTATCTTCTGGCACAAACATAATGTTTGCCAAATTTCTCATCTCCACTAAACTCAAAAATAGAGTGTTTTTTTTTCTTCTCTGAGCTCTTTTCTATGATTGCATTATTCCCAGATCCATTCTTGAATCCTTTCAAGTTTCAAAAGCAATACAAAAATAACAAGAAATCCATGTGCTATTTGATCTCTGAAGCCTACACCAAAAGGAAATTATTATTTTTTTCTTTGTTTTGGAAGTCACATGCC